AAAATGCGTTATTGGGACGTATGTGGATTAATGCCTTTAGTAATATTTTGAACAAGTTTATAGCAAACATTGATACCAACTATGAAGATAAAATAAAGAAATTAATAAAAGATTGCGAACCTAAACAGACTAAAAAACCGATCAATAAAAGGAATGTCAAGATATATCTACGTAACGACGCCAAACCGAAAATCATACCACCTAGACGGTTACCTTATTCAAAGATAGACGCTGTTACTAGAGAACTTATGAGATGGATAGGAGATGGAATCATTGAGCCGGTAACAGATGTCCGATGGGCAAGTCCGATAACCGCTGTCTACAAGGATAATGGGAGCGTTAGGGTTTGCGTAGACTTCAAAGACACTGTCAACCCAGCCCTTGAGGACTTCAGATACCCACTTCCAAGAATAAATGATCTTATCGCTAAGCTCAAGGAAGGGAAGAAGTTCACCAAGATAGATTTCAAGGATGCGTTCCTACAAATTCCCATCGATGAAACCTGCAGAGACATATTAACTATATCTACACACAGGGGGTACTACCGGTTTACCAGACTTCCTTTTGGGTTAAAGACTTCATCTGCGATTTTTCAACAAATTATGGATCAAATTTTCAGTGACATGAAAGATGTCATATTTTATATTGATGATCTACTAATTACGGGAAGTAGTGGTTCATTTCAACAACATAAAGAAGGTTTTTGAAAGAATACTATCTCATGGTTTAGTGCCTAATTTTGCAAAAAGATTATTTTTCAAAAAAAGTCTAAGGTTCTTAGGACACGACATCGACGCCAAGGGGATCCACGCCAACCATGATAAGATCGAGGCGATCGTTAAAATGCCGGAACCAAAATCAGCCGCGGAATTGTCAACGTTTCTAGGTATGGCCGGGTACTACAGAAAATTTTTGAACAACTTCGCTGAAATAGCTGATCCTTTATACAAGATTGTTAACAAAGAAAAATGGGAGTGGAATTTAGAACACTCCAAAAGTTTTGATGATCTAAAGACATTGATTAGTCTTCCTCCAGCTTTGACGTACTTTAATCCTGAACTACCTATCGGAATTGCGACTGATGCATCTAAAAGAGGTTTAGGAGCTGTTTTGTTTCACACTGAAAAAGATGGCAAAGAAAAACCGATAGCTTTTGCATCAAGAACTTTAGCAAAATCTGAAACAAATTATACCAATATTGAGCGTGAAGCTTTGGCCATTATGTTTGCTATCAAGAGATTTCAAGAATACTTGATAGGGACTAAGTTCACTATTATAACGGATCACAAGCCGCTAATCCATATTTTCACCAAAGGGCTCAAAGATAATAGCACCATGTCATTAAGGTTACAGAAGTGGAGTATAATTTTGGGGGGTTACGACTTTAACATCAGATATAAAGCTGGTAAATACAATGTTGTTCCCGATTGCCTCTCAAGACTACCACAAGTAATTGATGATGACGTTATTGATGATATCGCGATTATAAATGACTTTGGCGATATACCTCTTAGTTTTGACCGAATACGTGATGAAACATCCAAAGATTTTGAATTATCTCAAGTTATGAATGACATAAGAAATAATGTGCCTATCCAAAATAAAATTTATGAAAATATTGAACAAGAACTAAGTATCATTAAAGATTGTCTGTACAAAAGCGACAAAATAATAATTCCGTCAAGTCTGAGAAAGAACATACTGAAGGCGTTACACGAAGGTCATTTGGGAGCAGGTAAAATTAAATCCTTAGCCAAAGATCGTATGTGGTGGTCTGGTATGGTCAACAACATTGATTTGGAAGTCAAAAGTTGCGATGATTGTAATATTTATCATGACAATCCAAAGAAAATACAAAATCCATGGGTAGCAGCAACTAAACCATTTGAAAGGATACACATAGATTATGCGGGTCCGTTTTTTACAAAGAATTGGTTAATAATCGTTGATGCTTACAGTAAATTTCCGGTTATAGTTCCGGTAAAGAGTATTACGACTGAATTCACGTTAAAGGAAATTTATAAAACTATTTCACTATTTGGTATACCTGAAACCATTGTTACAGATAATGGTACCAATTTCACGAGCAAAGATTTTGAAAAATTTTGTAGCAATTATGGTATAAAACATGTACTAACGTCGGCCTACCATCAGCAATCTAATGGACAAGCTGAACGTATGGTGAGAACATTTAAAGCTCATATGAAAAGAAACATAAGGATTGGCTTAGAAACTGCGCTGGACAGATTTTTGTTCAACTATAGAAACACGCCGAATGACACTACGGGAGTTACACCGTCCAAAAGAATGTTTAACCGCGACATTAGAATAAAGTGGGATTTATTAAAACCTTTGGAGGATAAAGTTGGTGAAGTCTTCATGTCGTTACCACGAAATCGAACTTTTAATAGAGGAGACTATGTTTGGTATAAGAAACAGGGTGATGATACGTGGTGCAAAGGCAGCATCAAGCTTAAAGAGAGTAACACCATGTTTCAAGTTTATACTGATAAAGGGATAGTAAGTAGGCATATTGATCAGTTAAGGAAAAGAGAATGTTACAATAGTTTAAAATATTATGAAATTGACCCTAAAAATTCCTCTAAGGGGGGAAGTGTGGACACAAAGAATGAGATTAAGATACCAATTACTAGACCAATAAGAATTAAAAATAAACCTGATTACTTAAAAGATTACGTGCTTAAAATTTAAATATAAAACGCAAAAAATATAAAACGCTAAAAATATAAAACGCATAAAACGCTAAAAGTATAAAACGCTATGATTAACTTAACACCTAAAAAATAATATAATAATCATCATGATTTATCATTCCTTATTTTGGATTTTATTCCTTATTCCTTAAATTATCATTCCTTATTACATATTTTATTGTTCCGAAATTCAAAATTTTATTCGTGCATATTATTCATACATTTGATTTGATCAACTATTCCAAATTATATATTCCGATTTATTCCAAATTCCAATATTCAACTGGATTAATTATGAAACATGATAATAACAATTTTGAGAAATGTGAACAACATACGATAAGGATATCAAACCAACGATAACGTTCAACGATTTTATCAAACCTACGCAATTGATTCAAGCCTACAATAAACGTACAAACTCACGCAACTCTAATAAACGATTTTATCAAACCTACGTGATAGAATCAAGCCTACGAGAACATTTGAGACTTATGCGCGAACCAAGATGAAACCGAGTAAACGGGAAAAAACTTTTGGGACAACAAGCTCTTGATGACTGCTGAGAAGAAGATTAGTTCTTTGTAGAAGAGGGGGAATGTTGATTGATTTAAATTTGAATAGTTAATTTTAGTTTTATTTGAATATTGTTTATTTTATATATTAACTATTTAAGTTGTTCAATTAACTTTTTATATTTATATATATATAATGTTTTTTAGATGAAAAATATATAGTAATAAATTTGATTTAAATTTAAATAGTAATAGTTGAAATAAGTCCTTACTTTTATTTCTTTTATTTCTAATACATGCTCACGGTATATATTGCAACAATTTTACCTCTTTTTCTACTAAATTTTAATATTTATAGAAAATTTATTAATAAAGTATTTAGTACTATACACACAAACTAAATAATTACCCTTCAACCCCGTCAGCTAGTTTGGTAATAAACGGAAGAATTTTAAAAATATCAGCTATTAATTAATATATATATAATTAATATTTTAAATTTAATTATATTTAAGTTGGTGCATGCTTAAAACATACGACTTTGAAACGCGAGATTTGTGGTTCGACTCTCGAAGAGAGCAAAAAAATAACATTACACTATATAGTCTACTTAAATTTTAAATACATAAGAAGATACGAAAACGATCATGTTTTGATTATGGAGATTATATATATTAGATATGTATACAAAATTAAGTTGATATTGGCGTAAAAAACATTTTTTGACCGGTCAAATATCCGTCAATTGACCGAAACGTATTTGACTGGTCAAATGCACAACCCTGATTTAAAATATACTATAACAAAAATTAATATTTAAAATTGATAAATTTAAATATTCATTTAAAATTTTTTTGATTTTTTTAAATTAAGATAAAAAAGATAAATATGCAATAATTAACAGGACCAAAATTCCTAGGACCAACTATCAACATGCCCTCTAATTTTATAAATGTCATTAATCATATTAATCTGATTTATAATTCTGAAAAAATGTTAAATTAAAAAAATAGCATTTAATTTTAAAGCTTTATTAAAATCTAAAGAAAAAGTTTGCCTTACCTTGATATGCTAATGCAAACTTTTACCTTCATAAAAATTAATAGAATAACTATTTTTCAATTTTTTTTAAAAAAATGATGTATGGCATAATTAGCTGTATTAAATTTAAATTTCTAATTTTATATCATAGTATTTTAGAAATAAATTGGAATGGACTAATGCTCTCTGTCCCCAATGTGCCCCCGTCTCTCCTACTCTCTTAATCAATAAGACTGATACTATATAGTTATTAAAACATGGTAGTGTAGTTTAAAGCGACTTTAATCTCAATTGAATTAACCTCAAATAAACCAAAAAACTAAAGAAAGATTTCAATTAAATTAATAATTTGAAGATGGAAGATATTATTTAATCAAAAAAAGCATTAACTTATAAAGATAATAATGTAAACCTAAATAATTTATATCTGAGAGACCATTTAAATTTTTTTTTAATTCTAATGCAGGTTCGTATCTAGGGTAAGAAAATCGAAAAAAGTTTTCCACCCTCCCCCCTCCTTTTCTCTCAGAAGTTTCTAAATTTGAGGTAAAATAATTTTCCTATTCCTTCATTCCCTTAAGCCTTCTTTTTAAAACAATTATTTAAAAATTATTCACTCCTGTTTAACTTAACTGTTAAAAAGATTAAAGAAATTTAATTATATTATGAACTAATTCTAAGTAGAATAAGACAATTTAATAATGTATAAAAGAAGTTGCTAAGAATTTACTGATGGTGCAAAGGATGGTTTAATTTTTTTGTTGTATATGGCTTGAAAGTTCATATGGTTAACGTATGGCTGTTCTTTAAGCATTTTCAAGAAATGGATTCTTTCGTTAGGATTAAAGGCTAAAAGCTGTTTTAAAATAAAATTTATTCTTTTTTAATGAATAGAAATAAGATAATAACTCGTTTAGCGTCATTTCCATTTCGTAATGAGACACTTCATTACTCTGAGAGGTCTGCAAATGGCAAAATTCTCATAGGTTTTTGCCCGACCCGACCTGGGGATTATCAATCTATACATATTAAGTAGAACTATCCCATTCAATCGATTTTTTGATGTCGTACATCTGAGATATTAATAAAAATGAAAAGGTCTTCATGTTTGTGCTTGTAAAAATTGCATTGTTGCCAAAATATACAGTTATTTCAATATATTTGGGAAAAACTCCAAAATATATTTTAAAATATATATGCTTCCATAGCGTTCTTAGAATATTAGCTACTAAAATTAATCTTTCGTACCGACATTTAGATTCTAAAATTAATTGGTCTTCAGATATATTTATATCTAATGAATAAAATGAGCTAAATATTTAATTTATTTTATATCAGGATTTAACATATCCTCAGAAAAATTTCTAGGTAATAGTATTTGTAAACTGGATAGAGATATTAGATGAATCATAAATCGTTTATTAATTTGAACCAAAAATGTATCCAAAAGCAGAATAAAAACTTTTATATTATATTAATCTTCTATTGAGTCCACGTTGATATTGAATGATGTGTTTGTCTAGGTGGCAAATCTCAAAATCATATAATTTCACTTTCGCATTGACAATCAAAAATCTCGTGAATTATCTTTTAGTCTTATAAGCTTGTAACATAAAAGTATTCGCAATTCTCATAATCTCAACCAAATCCATATCAGAGACTTTCATGGGCCGGGCCGGGCGGTCCAAACCCGGCTATTTTTCAGTGGGACTAGGTTTTTGAAATCTTTTAATGACCTTGGGCCTAATATTTTTTGATTTAAATTTAGCTTATTTAAAACAGTTTCTAATTTAAGAAAATATTGCAATTTTTTTCTTCTAATAATAAGAAATTATAGTATTGTAAACAAAATAATTGCCTAAATATAAATCGTGAAGATCTCTGATATAGCTATGCGCCTGAGATTTCTAAATTATGAGTTTCTCGCATTATTATTTATATTAAATTTTAAGCTGAAATATAAGTTATGATAATAAAATTTATGATGATCTTTAGAGTAGTATACATTTACAGGAAATATGAGAAATTGCTTTAAAAAAAGTTATTAAATAACTTCATACACAACTATGTATACTTAATTTTTATTCTTTTATATTTCATATTTTGTAGAGACGTAGAGTGTTGTCCCTATTATAGCTTGGCAATATAAAGCTTTAAAAATTTCCAAAGCGTGGATAAAACACTGGAATAGGTTATGAGTAACATGATGCCCGCCTTCTACAAATTTTTTTATCCGAGTCTCCAAATAAAAATTATATTTATTCGATAATCTTATATTGAAACGGAAAACAAGGTGTAAAGGGCATCGCTTTTATAAAGTGGATAATATAATAAAGTGTAGCATTATAAAATTTTTGTTACAAATTTAGAGCTATTAATTAAATGACAGAGACGTATCGAGTTATTAAGTGTCTAGTTACAAAACCCTAAGTCGTAACACCTAAAAGTAGCTGCATCTATAAATATCTAAATTATAGTTTGATTATTTTTAATGATATTCTTTCTTAACTATTCTTTTTTTTAAGATTTGCGAGTTGACGAAATTTAGGATAAAATAATAATTTATATTCACTTTTTTCATCAAGTTGATCATGCCGATTTTGGTGTACGAAAAATAGGCGACTTCTGTTGTTTGTATAACATTGTAAATTTGTTGTATAGTCATATCGGAAGTTATTTCAAATGGTCTCTAGGATAAATTGTGAATTTTTTTTTCAAACTTGGTCATTTAATAATAAGAGTTTAAAACATTCGATAATTTAAAAAAAAATTTGCAACAACGTAAAAGAAACATGTCTTAACTAGAGTAATCTATATTAAACATAATAAATATAATAAAAAGTTAATAAATAAAATAAAAAGTGAGCTAGATATTTTTTAGAGAGTATGTAATTAAGAATATATTGAATGTTACTTTTTTATATAAAATCTCGTAGGCACAAATGCCCAAAGACCACCAATCGACATTGTAACTATACCCACATCCTTCGCATAAGGCACATTTGAATATTTCAGGGGCTATATATAAGGCCAGGTAATAAATAATTATCAAAAGTTGAAATTTTATAGATTACAAATAAACCAATGACTTGTAAAACGGCACAGGTGAAACTAGAGTGTCGAACATTTTAATATAGAAGTTAGAATTAGGTTCAGCGAAATTATTTTTTTTAAGGTTTAAGTTCAGTTCAGGTTAAGGAATTAAATTTTTATTAAGGTTTAGGCTTTAATTAAACTTTAATGAAGGTTTATAAAAGTTCAGTAATTATTATATTATAGGGTGCCCATATATAGCTTCATTAATAATTTCAATAGTATTTTGTGAAAAATATATAGGAATAAAGCACAATTTTGCATTAAAATATTGTTAATTTTTATATGTATATAAAATTATGATAACACCACACAATTAATCCTTTAATATATTTTTGTCCACTCTTGCTCTCGCTAATAATAAATTTAAATCCTGGAAATACTCTTTCAAGTAAAACTTGTGTAGCTGGGGCAGACATGGCTATTCTGCTAATAGATAGAGTTCGGGTTGCTCAAATTTTCTTTCCCAATATACAAGAATATCGGTGGTTTTATTCTGTACGATCCTTTAAAAGAATATATAATAGTACTTATTAATCGTTGTTTTGTATTGTGTGACATTTTGACTTTAATTATTTTCTTATATTTTTAGGATTCAAAATCGTTGTCTGAGTAGGGATATATTTTGAATTGAACTAATCGAAGGAGTGAGTTGTATATCCTCAAGTGCTTCAACTACATGCCAAGTTTGTATAAGATGTTTTTTAATCTTGTTATTTTCTTCATCTTATAATATTTGATTTAGAATCAAGATATAGACATGCACAGAATATGCCATTTTTAGCTTTATCTTTCTTGATTCTGAAGAAATTGGCAAATATGTATTAACTTTTTTTATTTTTATCGTAGAATATAAGAGAGATAAATAGAAATTATCTTATGTGCTATTTTTTTAACAAAAATTATAATTATTTTTATTTTTAAAAAATAATGATCATAATTAAATATTCAAGAGCGATAAGATAATAATAAAATATAATATTATAGATTACATTCTTTAATATTTGAGAATCTATATGGATCTGTTAAACTGGTATATAAACGGCGAAGGTTCGGTTAGCTCCTATATTTTCAAAAAAAAAGTTCAGTTTGGGTTATTAAAAAATATTAAATTATAAAGGTTCGGTTCGAAACTTCAAGTCAATATATAATTTCAATTATTTATTATTGTTCGCGCACCAGAGTGGCTGGCTCAATTTTTAAAATAAATGGATTTTATATAATTTTACCCATGTATGGTTTTGTTCCTGACAACGATCTTAGTTCAGATGATCCTTTAACCTCTGCGGCAATGTTAAAATCTCCTAAATGAACATGCCCTAAATGCGTTTTTTTAAATTAAACAAAAAATCAAGGTAATAAGCGAAATAACATACATATAAATCCACTTTTATACATAATGACTAAATTATCCAATAAATATATGAAAATTTTCAAATACCGAAAACATCTTTTTCCTTATTTACTTACCTTGTTCATCCAATATAATATTGTCTGGCTTGACATCTCTGTTATAATTATAAAAAAAAAATATGATTATTTAATTGAAGTTTTAAATTATGATAAAAAATTGAGCCTTCCAGAAAGCCCATGTAAAAATTTGATAAAAAAAGAAGAAAGAGCGATGGATGAAACACAAGTTGTCGAACCGAACTAGTAAAGCGGATTGAATTGTTATAATATTTCGAATCGTAACTGAACCATGTTATTAGATTATTATGAGTCAATTAAAAAAATATATATTATGATTAATTTAAAAATCTGCTTATAAAAATCGGAACGAATCGATGTGAATTTATAAATTTGAAATAACCTATATAAATTTGTATAAAAAAACCCGTCACGGAACTAAATCGTTATAAAACATTTAAACTAAGAAAGTGGAAGTAACCCAACTGGTACACTTGAAATTACTGGAACCTTCGGAACCAGGAAATAAGAAACTTGAACCAGAACTTGGAAACTTATTTTAAAGTCTTTAGAAACTAGTACTCATAGTAAAATTTTCAGGGATTGGTTTTAGGTGTAAGTAATTTATTTATATTCTCCTCGGATTATAGAATATTTAGAACCAGAGCCTGAATATTTTTTAGTTTAGGTTCTAAATTCTGGTTATGCTCAAATGTTCGACACACTGATGTAAAGAAGAAGAAAAATCTGCCTGAATGAACAAATGCTTTAAGCTCATTTTATTAAAAAAACATATTGCTCATCAGTTCATGTGTTATAGGTCCAATTTAATTTTTTTTTGCGACATAATTAAACAAATGAATGAATTAGGGAACCAATAGATAGTCAAAAAAACGAAATGTTTATGATATAACAAATATCACATAAATGAACCTGTGAATTATCCTGTTTTTTTGCAAGTAATCCAATGCCAGCGACAATTCACATATATACAGTTTAACCAAGGGTTCCTCAAAATCGATATTATTTTGAATATGATACCTGAGGTCACCTCCCATCAACAAATCTACCACCATAAAAATGTCTTCTTGGTCTTCAAAAGTGTACCATAAATTGACCAGAAATGGATGCTCCAATTTTTTGAGGATATCTATTTCTTTTATAACGTTGGATAGGTAGGAATGTTTGAAGCACCGTTGTTTGCTCATGTACTTCATAGCGTACATTTTTTTGGTATCCACTTTTTGAACAATGCATACCTTTTTAAAATATTATAATTATCATTAGGGGAAACCGGAGATAGTGTTATCACAGAAATGTATTTTCTTATCAAATAATTTTAAAACTAATACCCATTGAGATTTGTAACCAAAAATGTATTTTAATATGATGACTAAATAGTTCTAAAAATGTTTGGTAAAAAATGGCTCGTGAAAATTTCCAAATTTACTAATATAATATACTAAAATTAATTTTTAATTAAATGCAAAGACCTGGAGCAGGTTTTGAGGTAACAGATTAAATCATGGGGAAATTTTTCATATATTATTTTTTTTTTATTTATTTTTTTTTATTATTTTTTTTTTATTTATTTTTTTTTAAACAGGTTTTGACCAAATGCGCATTAGTTAAACAATCATTTATTTTTAATAAAATAAATTCAACTATATTTGTAATAAGAATAGAAAAAGCCATGAGTTTATCTAGGGTCATGAATGACAATATGAAAATGGGTGACTTGTTTATTATATGCTAGTTTAAGCTCTACCAGGTACTATAAAATGGATGACCCTGGAACATTTAACATATTTAACAATGTCTTTAAAAAAATATATATTTAAACAATCTAATACTTTCTTTAAGAACACTACAATAATACGCAAGTTAAAATAAGATATAGAATTCTATAAATAAATAAATAAAATCTAGAGTTACCATAACACACACCGCGGAATGTTAAAAGGTACCCCGAGATATCCATTTTCTTAATTGTGATATTCAATCAGGAAAAATTGGAAATAATGGATTATCACATTTTATAAGAATATGTCTAAAACTGAACCATAAATTTTATTGATGACTTATTTTTTTCTGTTATAACTAATTTATGAGTTATCAAAAACATCGTCACTGTGAATAAATTTTTAGATTGTTATTTAAGTCTTTCTTGCGACAATGACTCGACCTAAATAGGTATTGGCTAAATCGTTCAAAATATTTTTTTTAATATAAAATTGGGAGGTTTGGGGGGATAAAAAATAAGTTAAAAGGTATATAATTTTAAAAAAATCTTTCGAGAGCCTGTACTAATGCAAGCCATCTTGTTGGATCCCTCCGAAGAAGTTTTAACCATTTGACTTTTGTCCTGAGAACATATCATTTTACTTAAAACTGCTACCCAGTTGAATTATCATAACAATTATTTCTATATATGTTGCATTGGAATATGGAATCCATAAGGATTTAGAATCTCTCAACTTTAAATAATTTACTGGGCAATTTTTAAATTCGAAATATCTGATTCAATCGGAAATGAATTCCTGCGTGTCTAGAGTAACACTGTAAATTTCAGATTTGCGGTTAACTTTTGAACTACTTTTAATTTATATTAATTTTTATAGATATTTTTTTATATAAATTGGCAAAATTTTAATAATATGAGTACTCACACATGCTGAAATATATCTCCGGTAAAATCAGATTTTTAAACTTACAATTGGCCGTTAGTAAATGATTAAAATTGAGATATTCCAAATCCCTATGAATTACATATCCTAATACGACATATATAAGTAATGTACCGTGACCTTTTCTTCCTGCCTTGTGAATTGTACGATACAAGCAAATGTTGATAATATAGAATATATTCAAATTTAATAATTCGCGCCTTATACACTACGGTTTTCCGAAATTAACGCTCATCAGCATGTTTTTATATTAGATAGTGAAAGGTTATATTTTAAAGGCTCTAACATAATTGGCAACTGTTGCAATATCTCTATTGCTCCAAGTCACATGATTTTTTAGAAGTTAATTTGATTCTGGTAATTAAAATAGCTCAGCATTAAGTTATTGGGAGAAGCGTATTAAATAGGAGGTTTACGTCAAATTGGAGGTTTGGAAATCTTAGTTTTATTCTATAGATAATAGATCAAGACTGATAATTTTATAAGAAGTTTTGGCTTTACTTACCCTTTGTCAAAAAAAAATCATTTGATAAAATTACCGAATAGCATTACAAGATATAAAATACGTAAGATATTGGCCATAATATCTTATTTTCGAATATTTATTATTATATGAATTAAGGAATGAATAAATTAAACTTTGATAACTTTTTTTATTTCCCTTTATTATACAATAAATTTTATTTTTTTAGTAATAATATCTATTATTTATAGACTTCAAATTATCTTTTAAATTTTTTTTTCTTTATGCGACTTTTATATTACTTTAATAAGTTTTTGTTTCATGAATACATAATTTATCCATAAAATATTATAATACTATAATTATTATCTAATATGCTATAATAGAAAAAAGGACCAGAAATAAATTATTCCATTTTAAATGATTAGGAAGAAAAAATTTAAAAAGTAATTATTTGTATTTTAAAAAGGGTCTTCTTTTTCTTTTCTTTAGATACTTTTTTAAAACTTGATATATGCGTTAATCCTTTCAGTTCATATTTGTTAGGGACTGGACAATTTATAAAAGGCTTTGTATGGTAAGTTATGTTAATTTATTTAATTGCAATCCTTTTTATTAGCATATGAATGATAAATAATTATATTGTCATAATAAAATAAAGAGATTTAGTCATTATTGACGGCCAAGAATTTTTGAATAATTTGAAATTATAACGAATGGCTTTAAAACCATATTTTGTTTTATTAAAAGGATCTCTAAATGAAGAATAAGATGCTCTATTTGCAATAGTTTAAAAAGGGACTTAGTTTCCTTTTCAATGTACATTTAAGTAAGCTCACAATTAATCGTCCCAAATATTTTACATGCCTTAAGTTCATCGTCAAATTTTATGTCCTCTGAAATATTAATAAACCTCAAAATTAATCTAATAAATACTCTCATTACCATTTTAAATCTCAAATTATCATTCCCCTATTGTGTGCATGCTGCCCTTTCCTTAAAGCCCGATGGTCTAAGCCTTGACTTTCCCATACCCCTCAGTTCAACTTTCCTATCCTCGGTCTCCAATATTTATTACACTTCTGACTCATATGCTATTGAATAATCTTATATCACAGCTAGCCGTAGACCACTGGAGCAGAAACGCCCTAAGCAGCTCATATCTTGCTGCTACAAAATAAAGAGATTGGAATTTACAATTGATATAGAATTTGGTTGATTTACACCCAAAAGTTGCTCAAAGTAAATCCCCACCGCCTTTTATCCACCTAATCAAACCAACAGTCATAGAATGGTAAATACGCCCCTTTATCAGACCCCTGCGGGAGGCCACCTAGGAAATAGAGGTTAAAAAGAATACCTCGTTCTAATATATATATCTCAAATGAAGAACTTATAATCGACATTGGTATTATACTGCAAAATTGAAACACCAAAAAACATATGTTCCCTGTATATTCTACAATTATATTGTCACTTTTCAAAAAATAGACTGTACAGGCATTATGACATTAATTTGATCAGCAATAGAATATTGAGCCAGAAATATTCTTTTTTCACTAGAACACTCTGACCTCTGCCCCGACAACGAAACCAAACCCGATTGGAAAAAATATATCTTGCTTGGGATTATATTTACTTAGATCGATTTTCCTGATCCTTTTCTACCAACTCCATCATGAGATCAGAAAAATTATAAACAAATAAATACTGCCATCTAAACAACCTATTGTTTATTTCGGTGATTTCCCACACCTGTGGTTCATTTGGATTTCAGACCTAAAATTATTCAAAAGGACATTAACGTGTAATCACAGGGGATCCGAATGAAGATTTTTACTTATGGCAAATCGAAATTTGTCGATTCAACTATATTCTAAACAGTTTTTGTTTTTTAACAGTTCTTTTAAAATATTGTTTTATTTTATATATTTTTTTAAAAATATGAATTCAGTATAAAATTAAAAATAAATAAATATAATTATATGTTTATTAAAATCTTAGAATTGCATTTATTCAAAAAATATATGAAAGGATATGTTAAATATTTTATATATTTTAGGAGGCGCGACCCAACTACTACATATATATATTTGAAACATGCTTACAATGAAAATTTTAAAAATTATAAAAACTTATAATGCGCATAAACATTTTTAAATTAAGTTATGACTTAAATATATCCAAAATATTTATATAATATTATTACCTTTCCAAAGGTTCCTTTTCCGATTGCCCTTAGGATTTGAAAGTCGCTGAAGGATACTAAAATAAATTATATAATTATTATATTTCTATTAATTAAATATCTATAAATAACTTAACGTAATATATTAGTAAAAATCTAGTAAAGGTCAACGATCCGGTTCCCACTGCAAGCATGGCTAGAATAGAATCATTCTGGGCTTATCTTTAGAATCGGTTCCGTAGTTTATTGGTTTTTGCAATTGGTCTTCTGTTTGATAGAAAGAAGAATTATATATTTAATTAAATATAAATAAGCCCGTGAGCTGCCATGCTACAGCCAGACTTTTTTGGCCATGCTGTAGTACAAATTTAAAAAAATTTAAGTAAGTTTATGGCGCCGGATAAGAAAATTATATTTTCGATATTTATTAATATTTTTTAAAATATTGGATCACTTTTTATTTATTCAAAAACGAATTTAAAACAAATGTGTATGCATATAAAAAAAACAAATCAGATTATAAAGAAATTTTAAAAAAATATAGTACACATATAAAAAAACAAATCATGGGTTATAAAGAAATTTAAAAAATAAATATAGTACATATACATATGAAAACAATTAAATAAGACTTAAGGTAAGATGGTAACTTGCATTATTATGGAACTCTTAATAGCAATGATCATAATGGCTTGTTTTAGATAGAAGGCTTTACTACGAATTTCATTTATTTCGCTTAATTTTCTACCTAATAATATGATAAATTTTAGGAATTCCTCACCAAAGTCACCAAGGGTATTGGTGACAAATAGGATGAATATTACATTTACCATGTCTGCATATTTATTTATTTTCAAGAGTTCGGCTGACAAATCGCAGATGTGTTTCTATTGGTTCGTACTGAAAGATTCATGCATGTGTATTCCCAAGCTGATAGACCAGAAGACAAAGGTATTAAACTAATGCCATCGGTATTTAGGATATTAGCCCTCTTCAGGATTTTTGAGATCAGGTTATTAATGTTTGACATTGAAAATCGGTCTTTGGTAAGCAGTGTAAAGTATGGTGTTCTTTGAAATAAGTAGGTAATATTTTGTAGGAAGCGATATTTACACTCAAGATGAAACGAAATAGCTTTACACAGTTCTTCATTAGTGAGAAAAAACGGAAATGTTTACTTAGATGGCTGACTACCATTTGTAGCCCGATTTAGAACTCATAGTAACTTTGGAAACACTATTTTATTAATTTATATTATTTTTGCAATTATAAAAAAGGAACCTGATTTTTAAAAAATGTTTAATCTATGAAAGATAAAATTGTGAAAAATTAGTTGTGTAATATGGAATTTGACATGTTAATAGATAAATACAGACGAAGAAGTTATATAACTTTTAAATCGCCTCAGTATTTGAATTTAATGTTAGCGACAGAATATGTAACCTAGAAACATACTAAGGAATCCATTTTTCTGAAATGGATAAATTTGTATATAATTTAAGGTCTAGGTGAATTATAACGGTGAAGGAAACAATAATATATGTATAAGTGCCAGGTTATGTGATTATGAACATCATCTTTGTTTTGGCATGGCTTACATATTCTTGTTATATCGGCAAAATTTAAAAAAATGAAATAGAATGATAAACCTTGATTGAAAAATTAAAGAAATTATAAAATATTGGATAAATTATTGTTACTCTAAGATTCAAGAATTCAGAATTTAAAGATTGTATTAATCCAGAAAACAGAAGTTATTCGTGGCAATAGACCAAACTATATATGTCTTGAATTTGGATTATAAAAATAACTGTTTTGGGCAGCGTTTTAATGTGATAATTATACAATATTTTGATAAACAAAGATTCCTACTCGGGTATCGTATTACGAGGGTCAGAAATGTTAATGGAACTAACAAAGGTCCAATTAATATAATGTTCAATAGAATGGAAAGACATCAGCTAAAATTATTTTATTTTGATTGGAGTTTAGGGAAAAATCTTAATTTCTTAAAATTATAAATACTGTCGATTTTTTATCATCTCAAAATAATGTAACATAAATATTCTGTTTCGTAGTAAACATCAAATAATTTGATCGCCAAGAATGAATTTAGTTTTATCATATATCACATAAAATATTTTTTAGGTATCAACCTCATTTTTATACTTTCTCTTTTACCTCATTGTTGCCTGTTATGGAGAGGGCCAATCAATGTTTATTTCAAATAAATTACATAGAGATAAACGAATAAACTTCGTCCAATTATCAGACTAAGCAAAACAAAATAATATTATGAATATATAGAACAAGGACGCTATTTATTATTTTATCTTATATTAGACTTTTGTTAAAGAGAAAAGGGAAAGTTTTAAAAGTCTCAGTTTTGAACAGCAGAATATTATATGTCCTAGATATAAACATACCTATTAGTGAGTGTATTTTTTTTGCAGCTGAACTCACTTGAAATTAAGAAGTCCGATAAATGAACTAATAAATTTTATTTTATAAACGGTTATTTCAAATAAATTATCAATTTTTTTGCTCAAAAATTAATAAAAGAAAATCAGAAAAGCCGCCTGCCGATAAAATAAAACGCCCGTCAATAATAAATTTTCACACGTGCAGATGTCCTAATTATAACTTGAAATGGATATTTTTTGTTAATCCAATCAAAAGCCATTCTAATTTTATTATAAATAATAAAAATTATGTTTAAAAATATTCATTCTTGAAGAGGGAAATATTTTTTGTAACTTCGATTTCAATTTTAACTTTGTTTTGACAATTTGCAAGAAAAAAATTAATTTTGAATTATTTTGTGGATGATATAACTTGTTTGTATATAATAAGGTTAATCAAATTAATATTTATATTTGTCTAAACCTTGGTTAAAAATATAACTCATAATCTATTATAACTGTCAATACATTTCCGGATACTAATGGATTCCTGGTGATTACTTTTCCTCACCTCCTACATTAGCGTAGCTAGTGTTCTCAGTCAGAAACCTTGATTTAGCTGATTTCTGGAAACGGCTGGATATAAATTTTAGCCAAAATGTTATCTATTTTTGACAAACAAGGTTTTGGTAATATTTTTTGAGTAAAATTTTAATTGAAGGTTTCCGACAACACTAGGCGTAGCCAAGCCCTGATAATACTAGTCCCTATAATACTAACATTACTAATAGCTTCTAAAAATATATGTAAAAAAATGATGACACAATATTAGATAATGTCTATTAAACTATTTAAACGTTAATTATTTAATAAAAAATTTTTATTTTGATCACAACAACATAAAAGTTTTAAAATAAAGGGCATGTTTTAAAAATATAATTCTGCAAATTCTGCCCTAAAATTACATATTATATGAAATGTAATGCTAATCCCTAAAAACTTAAATTTAAACCATTTGAAAATGAAATTATAAGATTTTCCCGCCTTCATTTCCATAAAAATATTTTTGATTTTTAATTCAAGATATAATGCCTTTGAATTATAATGAAGCCAGTGGTCATAATTTATTTTATTGTATGTTTATTCTTCATAAGATAAATTCAGCAAAAAAATTTAAAAGAAGAACTCTTTCCTTTTTCTTTATTCTTTCTTATATGTTTAAAAATGTATTCTAATAAATTATAATATTTTTTTATAAGAGTTAATTATTATTTTAGATATTGATCACAAGTATCGGTTAAAATTGAAAGTATCAGTGCATCTCTGAAAACAAATAAAAATTTACCCTCACCCCCCCCCTTTTAAATATGAATAAAACAAGTAATTATAAACAAAATATAAGTAGGGGAGACAGACCAGGGATGGTTGGGACACTTTTCGTTTAAACCTGAAAAATTTAATAATATTAGACTAATCCAAATAAACAAAACATTTTCTGAATCATAAAAGTTAGTTTATTTAATACAGTTAATATATATAAATATTACATTTTTAGAAAATTGAATCTAAATAATTATATTAATTAATTGATAATGTCATAATGCGCAGTAAATTAAATTGAATTATAGTTGTAAGAAATTTTAGGAATTTTTGCGAAAAAATTAAAATAATATATATTTTTTTAATAAGCAATAATTAATTGACCTAGCCTACAACTACCTTTATAAATATCATTCAGAATCATATTAATTTATGTTTTATGATTCTGAAAAATCGTTAGATTCAAAAGTAGGGTTTAAATTTTCCTAAAATTTATTTATTAATATTTTAAAAGATTTATTTATAAATCTAAACGATAAAGTTATGAAACTATTTTATATTCTTTTAGTATGCTAAAACACATTTTCCCCTCTGAAAATTAAAATACTAAATATTTTTCAAATATTTTTTAGCCAATAATGTATGATGTAATTATCTATATCAGACTAAAATTTCCAGTCTAACGTTCTCATGTAATCAAAGTGCCCCGGTTTCCTCTATTAAGTCAATAACTTTTCTCAATTATTCCTATATAGTTTAAATTTTTTAGAAAAGAGCAAAAACTAAGTAAATAGTGAAAAAGAAAAATTATTATCATGAAAACGGCCCTAAATACTTGTAAGAGGGGGGGGGGGTGCAAACATTTTAAAAAAACCCTGGAAGGCATCAACTAAGCCCATGGGCCTACTAGAATCGGTCTCCCCTATTATTTAATAAATTATTTTGGATCAAAAATGTTTAGAATTTTAACCTGGGAGACAAAAAATGATTTAATTTTTTAAATATTTAGCCTATATTAGAATAAATACCTTATATATATATATACTCTTAGGAATTAAGATCAACCTATATATGTGTTACATGTATCATTAAGCAATAGTGTAGTTCCTTATGTCGTATCTTATTAAATTGTTTGAAATTTATAGAGTAGGTACTCTATACATGCTGAAATATAAAGTATGATTTTAAAATAAAATATGTAATGTCTTATAAAATTGTCCGAAATGAAGGGGTAGATATTTTACACATTCTGGAATTTTAAAATTCGGTGCGCGTTTTTATTTAAATTTGAAAATCTCAACTAGCCGAAAATGTAGGCCAGTTTGAGTAAAATACTTATCCTGTATATTTCTAGCAATTCCATAAGATAAGATATTGCCTGATTAAGCACATGAAGATAACATATATACAATAATGACTCATTATTTAATTAAAATAAAATTTTAAAAGATTTAAACTTAAATCTCCAAAATTTTGATCTAGTAATTAAAATTTTAAAATGTCTATTTTAAGTCTTGATTGATAATCGTGATGATAAATTTTATTAAAATAGGTTCAAAGTCTCTTCGAGGTTTTGGGATATGGGTTAGATGGGTTCATCCCTACAAAATATAACTTTTCAATGTTACTCAAAACTTAACTGACCTCGAGAGTGATCATCTTATGGAGATTTCACTATAAAGGAATTTATATTTTAAGATATGGTTTTAGTTTCCAAGTGTTTATTTAAAAATTAGAAAAAATTATTTGTTTATATGATGTTAATCGATATTTTATATTTAAAAAAATTTAATTTAATAAAAAAAAGTTTAAAAAAATTAATGAAGATTTAGATGGTCCTTATGGACTATTTTTGTTTTAACGAAAGGATGTTTTTGAAGTAAATTGTTACCTTTTTATTTTTATTTTATAATAAACTTGCTTAGATGTTAAAATTCTATAATATTTATCTTTGGAGTAGAAAATATTTTAAATCCGTCATATAACTTTGTTTGACAAAATATATAGGGAAAATTTTCAGTAACATAATGTGTTAAAATATATTTTTAGAAATTATGCTAGTCAAATCATTTCAGGTCTATGTGAATGGGGAAACGGGGAGTGGGACAACCATTTTAAGCTCCCAAAAAGCTATTTTAAGGGTGGCCAAAAATTTAAACCTTTAACTATTTCTCAAAATTTAAAACCTGGAAATGATAAAGACCCATTTGTTCTTTATAATTATATTTAAATTTTATTTTTCTCTTGATTAGTTTTCAAAAAAATTCGCCAATAGAAAAAATTCTGCCGTTAAATTTAAATAACTCAATAATGGTATTTGTAACAAATCAGACTAAAACGGTACACACCATCACAAATCAAGCGCAATTCAATCAAGCGTATCAAATTTTTTCTAAAATAAAGTGGGGACAACTTTATGATATTTTTACTAGGCTAGACTAATTTTCTGAAAAACTAATAAAATAATTTTAAACATCATTAGCAAGAAGAAATATGTCACTATACTATTTCCAGTTTAAAAAAAATTAATTAAATTACAACTACTTTCCACCAAATTTTTAATTGACTCAATAAAGTATATTTTATAAGTTTATAAAAATATTTATATTTTATTAAAATGAAATTATGGATCACTAATAAAGCTGAGATAGTATTTTAGAAAAAAATTTATATAAATGAAAAAACTATTAGTAATAAATGAAACATCAATTTTTATGACTTAATTTCTTAATTATAAAATCGATAAAAATATATATTTTTATTATGATAAAAATTGCAGATTTAATAAAAAAAATAATAATAAGTTTTCAAATATACAGTGCTGAAAAATAAATATTTATAAGAGGCAAAGCTATATGGCGTCTAGAAAATTAATCCAAAAAACATATATTTTCAAAAGTAACGATGTTACTTTAAAAATGAAGTAACGAGTAATTAAGTATTACATTTTTAATTAGTAAATTATATAGTTTTTATGTTCACATTTAATATGGAATATCTTATTATAGCATATTTCCTATATACCTATAATATAAAATCTCAATAATTTTATAAATAAATTTTTTGCAGTGAAAAAAAAAATATTTAAAAAACATTAAATAGAAACATTTCCAAATCAAGTATAAATGAAGTTTATAGGGAACTATTTATTCCATTCCATCAAACAATATTATACTTTACATTTAAAAGGTTTACAAATTTATTAATAAGTCTCCCAAAATATTTTTTTTGAGGGGAAAGGAAGTAGAGAGTATTTTTCTTCAGTAACTATTACATTTAGGCATGGTTAGAAAAAACGGTGCTAATCGATTTATGAACGTCAAATTATATTTTACTTTTTAGGAGCATTTTAGATAATAAACAAATAAAAATTGTAGTATAATTATATAATTCATTCTCTGTAAAATTTTAATGATTTTATTTTCGTGACATTTCTTTGTTTTGAAATATAACTACAATGAAATTACTAAAAAAAATTGTCATTAAAAAAACAAACATGGTGAATGGCACGAATTAATTTTCTATTTATTCAAACTTTGATTCTGGAATTAGTTTAATTTAAACGAAAATTATTGGAAAGAGATGATATATTATTTTTATAGCGGTAGGAATAAATGCTTCATGTCCATAACAGTAATGATGGCTAGCGATTCGACTTAACAGTGACTCAAATAGAGTTTCCAGTAGAAAAAAAATCACTCTGACTTGATCCAACTCGCAAGTCTCCTGAGCTGATTAGCTCAGCTGCTCTCGAGTTGGCTTCGACTTAGCTTAACCGATTAATATCAGTACTCCCATTCTTCGTTTCTTCCTGATTGAATATTGCAATCAAAGAATGAATTAAGAAACCAATCCGGTTATGGCAAGTAACCAATAACGATTATATCCGTTCTTCAGTAAACACTAAGCAATCTTTTTAAACTGCAATTTACTATAAAAGTATATAAAATTCTTTATTATTTTTATATCATATGATTGGAATTGGTTTAATTTAATTTGTTAATATTTTGTAAAAAATAAATAACATACATCCTAAATTTATTGTAAAAAATAGCATTTTTAGAACTATTAATTCTATAAAAAAAAGAATCGGCTCTCAATCTTTTAATAATACTATAACAACCAAGCATGGTAAAGGCATGATAATATGGGCTAGGATTCGTTTATATGAAATGATTATGTTTATAAAATCTGCTAATTTAATAATAAAATTAAATGGTCAGTTATTAAATTCACGAAATTGTTATGATTTTAAAGAAGCCTTTAAAAGTTATTCAGAAATAAAAATTATATTAAGATTTTTTTTGAATGTGTAGATTTTTACAAATTCCTTGGAAGGGTGGGGGGGGGGGCAAAAAATTATTTGTAGGGTGGGGGGGGGGTATCCTTAAACTTATAGTTTGTCATATACATTACCGATTAATGGTAATATAACTTTAATCGCCAAATCATAAAAATGTTTAATCTAACAAGAGTATAGGAAGGTGCTTGTATTTTTCTTAAGGTCATACTAATTTATGTAACATTTGCTCTCTAAAAATTAGCACCATCATTTTCCTTTTAAAATCCCCAAAATTATTTTAACATAAAATTTAGTATAAAGTACGACTTTTTGGATAGCAAAATTTGGTAATAAAGTATTATATTAAAAAAAAATAAAACTAGAGTCTCGCTACTGTAGGCTCATACTCGGGTATAAGGAAAAATTCAGTATTTTAGGGCAAATTACGAAATCCGACCAAATCTCTTATTCTCCTAATGTTAAAAATAGAAGTTAAAGATCAACAGAGATACCGGTTGTAGAGGTCTGTAATGGGTATGTTTTTAACCTGTCCATCAATTGTTTTAAAAAAATTTCAACCCACATGCCCATGGCATTTTTTAAGAAACGCTCGCCTATTTATTTAGAATTTTGTTTAACCAGCCTGCCCATTTTGAATAATTATAAGATTGGTTAGTTTGCTATTTATTATTTTTATATACTTATAACATTTTTTTTATTTACAATGCCTATTCCATTTCATAATTATCCTTTTGTCCTCAAAGTTTATCATATTTATACAAAATAAAATGCTTTTAAGCCAATATCGAACCAACCCGTGTAGATTTTAGTCCAGTCTACGTATCTATATGATAAGGAATATTTTCCTCAAATTAAATTTTAACTTTCCAGATCTTCTAACACCCAATTGGACTCCAAGAATTATTCTTTATAGCAGTTTATAAAACATAAATAATTTGTTTCCCGTATTAGGTATCCATCAATTAGCGTATATAAATTCACCATAATCTATCCTATCAAATAAAAACCATTGAATCTCGGGAATCGTTAGATCAAACTATTAAGGAAATAAAATATAGCGAATATTCATATCCGAACATTTATATTAGATCCCATTATTTATATCTGTTAAAATTATTTTTCAAATAGTTAATAGATGATCTAAATTTGGGTTGCAACTACAGTAAAAATTTAGGGCTATTGGATATACTCTAGTATAAAAATAAAAGATATTATATAATATTGTATAAGCCTAAAATATTTGCACCCAAACTCCTTATACCAGTTAGAGTATTGTGACCAATTTTGATAGGTGAATAAGTGTAGGAAACGGTCATGGAGGGGTGGGGGTTAAATTGTGAATCACGAAGTCGTAAATCATCAAAATCTTAAAAAGTAGGTCGCGAATGATAATTAATGTATTATGAAAAAAGGATTATTTAATTTAGAGATAAATCTGAGAGCGAAATTTCTATCGTTCAAAGAAAATGATATTACAAATTATAAACTACTATCAATATGTAGAAGAATGCAAGATACATAAGTGGCATAAAACTTTAAATATCAAATCCTTTAAAAATTATTCATCTTAACTGAAATCGTCAGTTCCCCCAATTACAATTCTAATGAAAAAGAATTGGGGGCCCACTTTTTTAAGTTTTACTAACATTAAATTAAAGTATATTATTAATGATCATGCATAGTTAATTAAAAATATCATTTAAAAAGAAATAAGAATTTTTAAAAAAAATCGTGTCTTTTTTTAAAATATAAGTTTTTCATTTTCTGTTTTTTTTTATAAAAATGTAAAATCAAAGTTTTTATATCACTTCTCATCTCATAATCTATCTAATAGTTTATTTTAACATTTAACAAAAAAAAATCAATAGTATTGTTAAAAAAACTAAAGAAAAAAAAATTATAAAATTAAAATTAATTTGTTTTTGTGTAAAAATATAAAGTTAAGTAATAGAGTCTCATTTTTTTTGTTATAAAAATTAGGGACGTTATTTTTAACAAATAAATTTATATAATTCGAATAAAATAAAAGGAAGTTGAATCATGCATGAGACATATTTTTTTAGGTCTAAATCGATCAAAGATTTTTTTTTAAATACTCAAGCTCAAGTATGACTCCGATCGGATTTATTTTTATTGGACTGTTGAAAAAGCAAGAAATTTCAAAATCGAAAAGAAATTAATCTCCAAACAAACATAAGAAAAACAAAATGATTTTAAAAAAAATTCGAAGTCTCATTCCGATCAGGAATGAATTTAAAAATCAAGGCAGGAAGTAAGATTTGGATTTCTAAGTGGCCATTTAAAATTTCAGTTGTACCTGTGAAGGGTTTCAAAGAGAATATGAAAAGTGAAAAATGTTTAATGATCCATAATGTTATTTTTCAGCTTTATTTTAAAAAATTGCTTCGGTCAAGTATGCAAACTATTTTATAAGCCTATTCTGGATTTTTAATTTTTTTAATAATACCATTTTATCATTAACGGGTCTTGCCTTAAAATTATCATATTTTTAAGCGTGGTCCTTGACAAAAAATACACGATTAAAATTGGGGCCCAAGAGCTGAAAAATTAAATCCCGAGCCGTAAGATTATGTGAAAACCTAAATTCAACCAATACCGATGGGAAATGGGTTAATATTTTATAATTTATCATGAATTAACTTTAGATTATTAATAAAATTTATAGTAAAATATTTTATACACAGTCCTGAACATTTTTTAATCAAAATTTTATCTAACTACCCTCTTGGTCTTCCCCCCATTGGAAATTTTTTGCTATTACCTTTTTTTTTATTTCCAGGGTATTTCTCTCTAGGGAGTTTTACTTATAAACGGTTTTTTCTATTATCAAAACTTGTTATAAAACTATTTTAATCCTTATTTTCGGGGTAGGGCGCGTTTTAAGGATACTTTTACGTTATATCCGTTCTAATTTTATGATAAATATGTGTATATAATGCTTTTTATTAGTTGCAACACGGTGGTAATAGGATAAATCAATAGCGTAATTAAAATACTATTGAACCTCATGGTGGTACCCACTTAGTCAACATGCATATCCAATATCCATTTTATAATAGAAACATTTTATATTTTAGCAAGTAAGGAGATCCTAGCGTCATTGGCTTAGGGGATCTTAAGACTCATTTAAAGTGATATTTACAAAAACTTATCATTTTTCAAAGGGGGAATCCCCCAAGTTCCCAAACCCCCACCCGTCTATATCTATGTGTAATGAATTTATGCCACTTTCTCAATTAATATTACCCCTTCTTAAAATTTGCCATTTTTCTTTTTGTAATATTCTAAAAAAAAACTCCGCCTGCGGTTTCTTTGAACTTTTTCGTATTTTGAGAAAGCCCGTCTATAAGACGCGGTATCACGCGACACATTCCAATTAACCACTACAGAACCTGACATTTAACTTTCTCTATTAAGTATTGATAATCGTAACATCAGTGGTGTGGCATATCTCCTAAATTAACAGAGGGGAGTGACTAGTTTGAAAAATATGATTTATTTTATCCAAATAAAAAAAATACATTAGAATGAATTTTAGAGATTTATATTTATTTAAAATAATTGAAACCCTATAATTTTAAAAAAAATGGCGAAATATTGTTTATTAAATATATTTTGCCTAGTCACAAAAATTTATATGTCGATTTAAAGCCTTAGCAACTGCTTTTCTGAACAAAAATACACACTTTATGAATCTAATAAACAATTTATTGTAATATTACTAATAAATAATAATAGTATTATAAACACCCACAATATATTGAAATAAAGACTATATTATCAGAAAATAAATTACCTTCGTCGTCCCCACAGTATACACCCCCGCTGGCATTCGAATTTGTAGGAGACTTCGATTTATAGCAACAAACTAAGGATTTCAAATGTCCCATTATCATTTTGCTATCTACAGATTTATGTTTACTATATGATAATTCTGGGTTGAAATCGCTTAAGTCTCTATTTGGGAAAATTTGATAAACCAATTCTAGTAGCATAAGAATTTCATTCAAGCGTCATAATAATTAGTTAGCTTAAAGAAAACAGTAAAAAAAAAAGGAATTACCAGTTAAATGCATAATTTAAAGCAACAATTCAATCATTTTAAAGTATTTATCTATTTCGGTAGAATCCTAAAATTTACTTTCATTTAATTTACAATTTTTTTTTATCTGAATAAGGTTTTTCTTTTAAAATATTAACAAATCAACAATAATATTTATAAATTTAATTTATGAATTTCAGTAAAAGAAATTAAAAGATTGATAACATTATTTAGAATTTAATAAAAATTATAATGTTAGGTTAATTAACATTATTAGTTGAATTTTATTAAATAACATATTTTTTTTTCATTTTTAGAAGAATATTTTATTTTATTTTAATTATTAAAATTAAAAATGAATGGTAAAAAATTGCTCAAAATTTCTCTTTTCCGACTCATTGCGACATTGAAAGTGCGGAAAAATAATATGTGAATTCAAAATCAATAATTATTATAATAGAAAATTTATCAATAATAAGTAATAAAAAAATGAAGAGCATCATATTTTATTGAAAGAAAATCAATAAATCAATAATAAAAAAATAAAAAATCTTAAAACTTTATATTTTATAAAATTTTATGATAATCGTTAAAAGATATGCACAAAGTCCCTCTTGCCCACACTGCATTTTAAAATTACTATTATTTTTCATTCCTTTCTTTTGTAAAGGATCTTACATTCTATCGAATGACTTCTTGAAAAAATAAAATAAATAAATTTCTTTGTTCTCGAAACTCATCCACGAAAAAAAAACAATTAAAAATTTATTAATTCTATTGATATTTTCATTTAAAGATTATCCATTTTTCAAATATGACCCATTAAAATTAAAATCTAAAATTAATCAAATTTTAATTGACAAAAAAATATAATAATTTTATTTTTAAAAAATTAACAGGAAATGATTCTAAAACAAATAATTTGATTATGAAATAATAAATAGTATATAAATAAAATAATTAAAATATGGCTAAAAATAATGCCTTTTGTAACAAACTACAACTACAAATGTCTTTCACGCAGAGACTTAGGACGGAACTTTGAACTAGAGATTGCTGGAAACGGAACCGTCCCCATCTTATATAGTGTTGGCGCATTTTGGTTTTATTATCTACCAACAACTCTAGGTAAAACGGCAAACCCTTTGGGGCTTGATGGCAAATATCAATTTAACCAATAACAAAGTTTTTCATTTTTTATTGTTTTCATAATTAAAATAAATTCAGAGTATTTACCAAAAATTAGCTTTCACAATAAATAAACACATAAAATAGATAATTCCAAGATTTAGATCTCTGTTTTCGAGATTATAATCTTAATTAAAATCATTTATCAAACAAATATTTACATGTATTAATGTTGTAAATAATTTATTTTTTCCCAAAACAGCTCTTTTTTTTATAAAAACGTATATATTATTTTTTTAATAAAGATTAAAATAACACCAGGTGGAATTAATAAATCTTTTAAGCCTCATGGAAAATTATTATTTTCTTTAGATCCGGCAGGCTAGGGTTGGACTGGCTCTGGATATAATAATCTTGGAAAATATATATCACTACTAATAAATTCAAGACTAATAAATTTTCTAAGGCATAGACATGCTAACGAATGCAGTGTATTATATAATAAATTACTATTCTATAGTTTATAAACTTATTTTGATTTATTTTATAGATTTTTTAAAATCAATAAAATATATATTATATTGTAACAACAATTAAGTAGTGACTACTTTTTATAAGTTTAATAATGTCACATATAAACAAATAAAAAATTATTGAAATTATCGAGGATTTAACTGCATGTGGTTTTTAAAAATTATTTTATTAATAAACATAATGTACACAACAAATCCAACTTATTGAATTTGACATAAAATATCAATAGAGGTTTTACTTGAACAAAATCTTCAGCGCTTTCCGTTTATGCCAGCAGTTTTTCTTTTTCTTCATATTTATAAAAATTATTCTCCATTTTACAAAATATTAAATGGCATTCTACCTAGTAGGAAAACAGTAGTTGATAAGTAATATATAATAAAATAAATTCCTAAGACAGATTAAAACAATTAATAAATGTGAGCTTCATCATCTAGCCATAAAAAAACTACGATGGCTCGATTAAGCGCTACTTCTAAATATGTCAGGGGTAACAAAATCTCCAATTGACCCCATATCCGGGGAAGTTGTAATCTACACTGGTAGAACTCGAGAAAAATCGTTTTTAATTAATATCTTTCGAATACAGAGCTCTTACTACTAAATGAACATAAAGTATATAGCATGTATAGAAATACATCTTTAGGTCAAATTTGAAACAATTGCTCTAAAAATGAAAAAAATTATAAACGTTTGTCTTCTTACCCCACTTGCTATAAGGCCCCGGTCTCCCCTACAACATATATTTTAAAGGCCGGGCCAAAAAACCAAATAAAAATTTCCTATCTCTTATTATCATAAATCACTCTGTTCATTTTGTATTTTCTAAAATATCGTTATATTTACAATGTATATGTACCAAAAAAATAATAATTTATTTTAATTATTATAATTCACTCTAACAATACCAAGATTAGCAAATAAAACCCATCATGTTAGTCATTTCTAAAATATCGTTATATTTATAATGTAAATCTACAAAAAAATTATATTTTATTTTGATTATTATAATTCACTCTAACAATACCAAGATTAGCAAATAAAAGCCGTCATGCTAGTCATTTCTAAAACCCATAAGTTATCATTTAATATATGAATTGAGTTTGGCGGTAGCAATATTTTTCTTTAAAAAATATAGCGTATATTCTTATTATAATCTAGAGTCAAATATGCTAAACATAATTTGAGTAAACTTACTGCCCTTTATGAGCAAAATTTCCGGGCTTACATATTATTATTTTGGGGAAAATCTTAATCGAGCAGTTTTTACCACTACATGTGATCACCAGGGTTGTCAGATTCATTTAAACAAAAAGCGGGAGAATTTAACCAATATTTCCAAAAAAAAATTCAAATAATATGAATTTTTTTTTCCGGTGATTATTTCAAGAATATATCTAATACGCAACAGTAAAATAAAGGAAGATCGTATATTATTTTTTTTTAAATATGAAATTAATAGATATTATTTAAAAAATGTGTACATATTTTTATTTATATTATTCGGAAGATTTTGTGTTATTAATTAAATTTTTATTTGTTACATATTCCTTAAAATCCTTATAAGTATAATTGAAATTATGTTTGATCAAATATGCGTTTTGAATCAGCGTTTGAATGCGAAATATTGCTTATTTTTTCAAAATTAAGCGCAATGTTTTTTGAAAAGTACCTATTTGTTTTCATGAACCAAATTCGATATATTATTATTTTGTCCTATAAATGTATTTAAAGCAAAGAATTCCTAAAATAATTCATCTAATTCGATATCTTTTACATTAAAATTGATTATTATTATTAATTCAACTTCCTCGAGTTTTAATTTATTATCGAACTTCATAATATTTAGATTTTCCCGTTTATTATTTGTAAATTCATATTTTTTAAAAAAATACGAAATAATGAATTTATTAGCTTCATTTTGAAACGATGCGATTTTATCATGATCATCACAATATTAAAAGAATTTCTCTTACAACCGAGCCATAAAAGTTATTGATAACTTGGTCTTTTATTGTAATTAATTTATTCATTAATGAAAAACATCTCCACTATTTTTGGATTGCAATTTTTTAACCACGTTGTTTAAGGTCGTCCCTTTATTAATAAGTAGGCCCAATTAAATCTCAGCCATTACATTTTCAAAAAATAATTTAAATATTAAATTTTTCATGAAAAATAAGCTAACAGCTAGATCATTTTTTATTAAGTCTTTCGAGAGCCAATATTAGTGATAGCCATGTTGGAACAATTCCTAGAAATTCGGACCATTCATTATCTTAAGAATCGATAATTCTTTTTAAAACAAATACCCTTTAGTGGATTTGCTGAATTCGATAACATTTCATAGCAATTATTTATATGTATATTAATAATGGAGCATGCCCCTCTTGGTAAATTGTATTGCACAGGCAACCAATAAGAATAACATTTTCATCATTACACTTTGCCTTTTCTAAATTCACACTTGCGTTATCAGCGTTGCATTTGATAGTAAAAGGCTACAATTTTCAAGGCTCTGCACAGACGCAATATCCTTCTATTTCTCCTTCGAGTCCGATGAAATTTTTTTTAGAAATTTACTTGAAACACCTCTTTCTTTATTAAAATAGCGCAGCAGTAATGTTTTAGTATTTCCATTATTTTATTCATCAGTTAATAGAGAAAATGAACGATTTTCCTTTAAATACTATATGATACGTTTCTTATTCAGTAGGATATTTAACACTATTTTTAAGACTTTTGTTCTTCTATATTTTATGCTTTCTTCTATATTTTATGCTTTCTTCTATTTTTATAGCAGGAAAGAGTATCGTTTGTAGCGCAACTATCTGTAGATAAATAACTAATCAAATGTTTTATCATGTGATAGATGATTGTCGTTTCGGACATTGCAGTATTATCAACACATAAATTATTGTTTTTGAAATATAGTTGAATATTATTTGTTAATTCCTTATTTTTTAAATTAGAAATGTGTTTTTCCCTTGTTTAATGTTTTTTTTACATCATGGACTCCTCCTTAGCTGATATTAGATTTTGTATTGCATATTATACAAAATACATTTAAGCTACATTCTTTATCTTATCTTACCCATGAATAAGTAGAATTACAGTTATTTGCGATTTACATTTTTTTATTGGTTGAACTTGTCTTTTTAAACTGTAATTTATATATATCAGTAAATATTCAAATAAAGTAACCCATGACCGATAAAAAAAAAAATTATATTAATGGAATAAAATTAGAAAAGAAATGAAATATTATGAGAAAACTTTATTTAATTAATTAAAAATAATTATTATTAAACTATATAAAACTGTTAAATTTTAATAATAAATAATAAATAATAAATT